ATCGCCATTTAGGGAAAGATTATTGGCGCCTACGCCTTGGTATTGGCCACCCTGGAAATCCGGATCGTGTTTCGGGATATGTGCTCAGCGCTTTTTCGAAATCAGAAGAAACCTGGCTTATTCCCCTTGTTCGGGAAGTTGCTGACCAAATAGAAACTCTAGTAAAAGGCAACAAAGACCTATTCCTCACCCGCGTCAATGAAGCCACAAAAGAGGCCTGTTAGACCAAAAATCCTACATAACAGTCACTAGAATGCAGCATGATAAATGAGATTAGCTAGCCCCTTGAGCACTGTATTTTCAGGCATCATTACACCAAGAGCCTAACATTACTCGACACCATCCCTCTATAGCTGAATGCATTTAATTTTATTAAAGGCGCGAAGGAGCGAAGTGTATTCACATAGATAAGCGGCAGGCAATGCAGAACAAAATTATAAGTGGTCAGCTATATCAGCATAGAAGGATATTAGAGAAAGAGCATAGAAACGGCTCAGTTCTTAGGCAGCTTTCCAAATGCCAACACACACTCCCCCAGCACCATCAAATCACTTGGCCATTTCTAATGGGGTGTGCCCACCCCAGCTGATACCACCATCAACAGTGAGAATGGAACCTGAGACGCTTTATTAGAAGCAAAATACAGTATGGCCGCATCCAGATCTTCAGGATTTGGAATGTAGCCAAGGGGCATCAAATCTAACATCTCTTGGCGCTTTGACGGAGTATCAAGCTTATAGTTTGTTAAAGGTGTATGGAAAAGCCCAGGATTAATGCAGTTAATACGAATATGATGCGGTGACAGTTCGCCCACCAATGTTTTAGTCATCTGATCACTGATGCTTTCGAAGCTGCATATCCTGTAATGCCAGAACGCACATATCGATCTCCGTTTATGCTGGCAATGTTAATGATTGATCCGTGGATCCCCTTTTCTTTCATATAGGTCGCTATGATTTTTGTTACATACCATACACCGAGAACATTCACATGAAACATGTCATGAAAGTCTCTGTCATCTGAATCTTCAAAAATTGGTGTCACCTTTCCACCACCAGCATTATTGATTAAAATATCAATGCTCTCCCCTTGAGAAAGGAGAGACTGTATGGACTTTTGCACACGCGCACGATCACTTACATCCATTTCCAAGGGGAATGCGTGTCCTCCCCCATTC